CGGCGGCTGTGAGGCTGTGGACAACGATCGACCGACGACAGTGCAAGGAGCAGGTGTGGCGGCTGTGGCGGAAGTGAAATGGCGCGAGACCTGCGAGGCGAGCTGAGGATAGAGAGATCGATGGAGACATGGCGGGGGCAGCGAGCTGGCGACTGGAATATTATATCCTCACAATCGCTACTTTCTCCCCAGAGAGGCGGGTAGTACGCGGGTGCAAGGATTACGGTAAAAAACACAATCGATTCTTTTAAGAAGAAAAATTTCTGTAGGAATTTTTTTTCTCACTTTCTAATTCTTGTTGAAGGTGATAGATTCTGTTCATTTTTAACAACCATATTAGGACTATCTAGGTCAGGATTATAGGGTAATGGCTGATTTGCCACTCTTTCAAAATCCCCCTAATTATATTCTTTCAAGTGTGAATATGCTACACAGAGGGCAATGAATAATCCCGACTCAGCATAAAAAAGTGCGATAAATTGAGTAAGGAAATGTGTGATTAACTATTGGTTCTTATATTCATTTACACACCATGTTTCTATACATGACTATTGGTGATTAACGTTTTTGCACTTTTGATGAAATCGCATTTTTCTTTCCCACTTCCTTATTCCTTGGATCCCACTTTCTTATTCTTTTAAGTGAATGAAGTTCATAATACGACATTTAGATGCTAAGAAAATTTGCTTTTGGGTTTGTGAGGAGAACTGCTTATGTTGTTGGTGGATGGCTGCTTAGCGTTTTTGCATCTTTATTATTCATTACTGACATTTTTATTATTCATTCATAGTATGAGACTTAGATGCTAAGGAAATTTGCTTTCCCGTTTGTGAGAACTGCTTATGTTGGTAAATTTGATAGATTTTGTTTTTTCATCTTGGTCTAAAGAGATAGTATGCAATATCTTACTTATCTTTTTACCAGAAACGAGAAGTAACAAAGGTTGTCTTAAAAACAATGGGTCAGCTGAGCAAGACTGTGGTTGTTGCAGAAATCATAAAAAGGTAGCTTTTCCATCCTACCACCCATATTTCTCATTTATCCCTTTCTGTACACTGAAAGATATTCTAAGTGTTTTCATTTTAAAACAGATAATGATCCCTCGGCTTCATCAGGACTCAACCATCAGTTCCTTGAGCACAATAAATACTTTTGAACCCATTGAGGAAGGCCTTCAGATGTAAGTTTAATATCTCTTCTTATTTGTCCTTTAATTATGTTTTTTTTGGCAATTTTATGGGGGGTGTGCCTGTGAAACTCTGTGTGCGGTTTTTAGGGGTTGAGAGCGAGGGTTTTGTTTGAGTTGGGGCATTTTAATTGGTACTCTGTACAAAAATATTGTAGTTGTATCATATGAGAGATCATTAAATATTTGTGTTGTCTGAGGGTAATGTGGATAAATTATGAAGCTTTCAACATCAGGGATGGGTCAGCAAGCTCATGAAGGTAACTGTCGTGTCTCATTTTTTTTTTTTCTACACACGGCTCTTTCTCCTTTTGTGGCTTCAAGTTTGTTATCTCTTTCTTTATTATGGATTTTTTTTCACCTTTATTTTGATGAATTATCTCTGAGCATGTCATTTTCATTTAAATCTTTACTGTTGGAGAATGTTCTTGTCCTTTTTATTGGAAAATTTATTATCAGCGGTAGGGCCGATCTTCTAAAGACTTAATTTTTCTCGACCTCATTAGACACTATGTATTTTGGTTGATGGATTTCTTTGTTGGATATGGAAGGGGACAAGAAGGGCTTGAATTCTGAAATATGGCAGGCTTTGTTGGATATGGAAGGGGACAAGAAGGGCTTGAATTCTAAACCCAATTGGTGTCACTTCTAATAGTCGGGAGCCGTGTGGTTTACTTCCCTCAAGGTCACAGTGAGCAGGTTTTTAATTCAGTTATTTCATTGTGATCTTCTCTTCTCACAAATGTTTCGGTTGTACTTGTGTAGGCCTCTGATTAGATCTTAGCTAGAAATTTGTGTAGGTTGTCGCCACTACTTACAAAGAAGTTGATTCTCATATACCCAATTACCCTAGCTTGTCACCCCAATTGATCTGCCAGCTCCACAATGCCACAATGCATGTGGGTTTTCATCTGTCTGTTGGTGGTTTTGATTTGAAGAAGCAAGTGTTAAACGATAGAAAATTCCCAAAAATGCACCTTGACCTGCAGCGCCTATTGCAGGTAATTAATGCTGCTAGACATTCTGTAACTTCTATAAATGTTTGTCCATGTTGTATTATCATTTTTTCTAAAGAAATCTGAATCGACAATCAATCGATGCGGGTTTTTTTGATAATAAAAAGAAATCAGGTTATGAATAGTATTAAACACTACTAAATTCTAATTCATTCTGAAATTAAGTTGGTTAATGGGTTGGTAAAGTGAGTTGATCATATGTTGCCAGATAATCTCTGCCTATGGATGATTATCTTGAGGTTGTGACATTCTGTATTGCAATGAAATTTCACTTCGCAGAAATGAGAGTGTGGAAATGAATTTGGGATATTGCAAAATTACACCCTTTTCACATTCTTTGCAACGTAATATTACTTGTTGGAGAAAATCTTGGGAAAATGAGACATAAACAGTAGAGTATATGGCTGGTATAATTTAAAGTGACATGATTTGTTAATTTCTCTTTAGTTATATATCTGAAATGAAATTAGGCTGATGTTCTACACTTGATTCGTGCATGAAAAATTTACAAAGATTGCAAAAGATTCAGACTCACGAGACAAACGACATTCTGGCAGTGGCAGATGATATAGGCAGTTGATACAGTATTTATACATACATACATACATATATATATATATATATATATTC